ACCCAAGATCAGAGCGGGAGGGAGGAGGGGGAATGCGGGGTGCTCAGAGGAGGGGGCAGAGTTGGGGCAGGGACTTTGGGGAAGGGCTTGGAATGGGGGCGGGGAAGGGGTGGGGCGGGACCAGGGGCGGGGCCCCATGGAGTGTCCTCTTTTTTAAATGTTTGAATATGGTAATCCTACTAACATTCTGTCTATTCTTCAGCCACTAGGTGTGACTGCAGCTCAAATAGACATATGCAACCTAGCTTGAATCTAGCTAACTCAGGTACCAGAGCAGTGAAACTGCAGTAACATATTTCATTGTTGGCTCCACAAGCCTGCCCAGAACCGTGGGTAATTACTGGGACTAGCCTGCGATGAAACATGAGCTAGATTAGAGCTACCCCGGGTATGTCTACTTAAGCTGCAATCAGGCCTTGTTATTGCAGCATAGACATGCCCCTAGATTTCAAGTTCCTTGGAGCAGTTGTTGTGTCTCCCTCTATATTTTGTACAGTGTTGAAAGTGTTGTTGGAGCACAGCAAATAATACACTATTGATATAATTAATACACTACATTGTTCAGAACTTTAAGCATCAAAAGCACAGGATTTTAACAGCTTGAGTTAAAGGAGTTATGCCATTAGCTAATAACACTAATTGGCTGTTACCCTCAATGTAGGCCAGCCATTATAAGAAGATATGATTCACCCACACTCAGCAGGTGTGTTACGCACAGTTATATATTGTTGGCACTTTAAAGAATTCCATCAGTTCACTCAAGCATACAGAATGCAGATTTCTTCCAAGGTACTCAATAAGGGCACCCACAGAACTGACAATGGAATCAACTCTTACAGCTCTAAATTCACATCTGCAAGAACTCACATTCTTTATCCCTTTGAACTATGCAAGATACTAATGGTTGTTTTCCATACATAAAGATCTATAAAATAATAATAAAAAAACAACCTCCCCTTTCCACTGTATATTTGTTATGTGCTCTCTGCAAAAGTTAATGGTGATTTCCAAAAAATCACCACACGCTGGAGGTCTTTTTTCTATTGCAAGAATAAAGTTGAGGAAAGCTCCTAGACCTCCTTTTTGTTGTGCTTTAAAACACAAGCAGCATAAGCAACTAGTGGCTCACCTTGCACACAGAAGCCTGCAGGATTGCATCAAAGCCACCTTCTGGAGCATCTCTGTTCCGGGAAACCTTCTGTTTCTGAACTTCTTCATTGAAACGGTCCACTTTATCCGTGAGGGACAAGAGATGGCGGAATCCAAAAGATGGGACACAGTGTGGAAATAACTTGTAACTGGAAGCAGAAATGGAGAAATAGAAATGAAAGGGGTGTGCTTAAGTGGCCTGAGGACAGAATGAGGAGCCAGGAATTGCAGAGTTCTGTTCCCAAGTCTAACACAAGTAAATCCCTCTGGACAAGTCACTCAAACCCAAGCATTCCAATGCAGCTTCTCAATTTGATAGCCTCCAATTCTGGATGCTCAACTAGAAACACTTCCCAAAGAGCCTGATTTTCTGAGGTGCCAAGCACCTACAGTTCCGAGCAGGAATTGTGGTTGCTCAGCTCTCCTGGAAAAAGTCGAGGCACGCAAAGTCAGAGGCCACTTTTGAAAACATGGGCTTAGCAGTTAAGTTTTGGCTCCTGCATAATAGGGCTAGGATTGCTTTATCACTTAGGACTGTTTGAATCCACAGCACACTAGCTGCTGCATCATGTAAGTGATATTAGAAAGACAAAACAAAGCCTTAAATGGCTATATTACAAGCAACGAACCAGAGCTCTGAGCATGATAAACCAGAGGGCTCAGGGCTCTGGATCAGCTGATGTCACAGATTAGCATGATGTCTAGGAAACACTGTGGACTCTTGGTTGAGAACTTCCACCCTGGTGTCTTACATGCTTACAGTACGTGACATTCGTGACACCTAAGCAGTTTTCCAAATTGATAAGCGTCCTTATTAGTGATATTGCACTTAAAGCACCACACAGATATGAACTCATTCATCCCTACAGCACCAATGTGAGGCAGGTGAGTAACTATTATCTCGGTTTTCCAGTCCCAGGGTGAGTCAGTGGCAGAGGTGGGATTAGAATGCCCTTCAGCCCCTGTGCCAATTCTACCATGTCTCTCTGCTCTTGGCTCCAGCACCAGGCTCTGATTGGAGTTAATGTCTTCAGCCCAATTGATTGTGTCTCACAAACACATCACATGTGTGTAAGCACTGCAGTTTTAGCTCTCAACCTCTTTTGCTGGGGTTGGAGATTTTCACAGTTTAACAACTTCAAACCCAATTAGCTAACATTCTGCAAGCTAAACAGAGTCTCTCTTTTAGTGCTAGGTTAATGAAGTGGAAAAAAACAGTGAATGCATGGGGGGGGCTTGGGAAGGGAGGGGAAAAAAACAATGAGTTTAAAGTAAGTGAGGCTAGAGAGTAAGACTTTTACTGATTCATTATTAACTTGTAAAATAACCCAGGAGAACAATTAAAGGCCTTTGATGACAGCTTTATATTCAGGGCACCATTTGGTTTAACATAGCTTAAAAGATTCTTTTAAGAGGCCGAAGATTCTATTTTAACACAACCCACTGAGAATTCAGATTCCTTACTTGCCAGTCATGTACGCAGGTATACAACGTTCAGTCTCTAGGGACCAAGCATAAGCTCGTTTAATTGAACTTCAGGTATTTTTCACACTGCGATGTACATATCCATATAGTAGTGCGCTTTATAGTAGTGATTGTATTGTGTGCAATGATATCATCTACCTTGGGTACGCTACATACAGAAGGGAACAAATCATCCAGTGCGGTTTCTAGCTACGCTAGGGTTAAAAAAAAGAACTAGATAAATTCATGGAGGATAGGTCCATCAATAGAGGGTCCTGTGGCACCTTTAAGACTAACAGAAGTATTGGGTGCATAAGCTTTCGTGGGTAAGAACCTCACTTCTTCAGATGCCCACGAAAGCTTATGCTCCCAATACGTCTGTTAGTCTTAAAGGTGCCACAGGACCCTCTGTTGCTTTTTACAGATTCAGACTAACACGGCTACCCCTCTGATACTTGAGGTCCATCAATGGCTATTAGCCAGGATGGGCCAGGATGGTGTCCATAGCTTCTGTTTGCCAGAAGCTGGGAATGGGTGACAGGAGATGATCACTTGATGATTACCTGTTCTGTTCATTCCCTCTGGGGCACCTGGCATTGGCCACTGTCAGAAGACAGGATACTGGGCTAGATGGACCTTTGGTCTGATCCAGTATGGCCATTCTTATGTTCCTATGTACATATTTGCCTTCTGATTTAAAATGCATGGTGGAGCACAGGAAGGATGAAGACAAGAAAGAGGATATAAACAACAGCTCAGAGGGGCCTGCTACCTGTGGAGGGGATGGCATGGTGTGATCGCTTATGATCAAGCCTTTGCTCAGGGTTCCTATTCACCTATAGGGGCAACTCACGGTGTTTGTGCTCTTCAAAGCCCTGACTTGTCTGTGGCTCAGCAAGAGGTTCCTATTGCTGGCTCTGAGTAAAATGCCTCGGGGGCTGGAAGTCAGGTTCGATCAGCTGAGGACCCTCTCACCTTTGAGATCTGCTCGTCTTGGCACTTCACCAGAGCCCCTGGCTATCAGGGCAGGGAATAGATGCTGATTTAGCACTGGGTGTGTTCGTTTCCCCCCAACCCACAGGTTTATGGAAATTTACGATATTCACTTGTTGACATGAACCTGACTGATCCAGTGATACGGGCTCTGGACAGCAGCAAAATAAGAAACAGACCATGGAAATAGAAATAAATAGCATATACCCATCATCACAGCATGCTCCTCTAACCTTTAAATTGTACATGTCAGGAAACTGTACATGCCAGCTGCATAAAGATGAGAGTTTCCTAGGTCCTGTTTTTTTAATATCATCCCTGTGACAATTCAAATCTTCAGGTGAGTGATGCTGCGTTTTTGTTCATATTCTTAGAGGCCAAATCCTGGATCTTGGGATGTAACTCAAAAGAAGGCACACATTAACACTGCAAAAGCACCAAAGCCTGCTTACTTACTTACTGACTTACACACACGATCAGAGTTTGGGGGGATTCGGAGCTCATACCCAGCTCAGCACAGTAAGCGCTGAAAGAAACGGGCCACCCCACATCAGCTGCAATCTCTAAATCCTGCTCCAGAAACCACCTGCAACTCAGTATCCAGAGAGCCTGCAGAGTGGGAACTCTACTGCTCTTGGGAAGCTAGGAATGGGGCAAAACAGTTGTGCTCCCAGGGTTTCACTCCTGGCTGCAGTTTTTTGGGTGCAGGCAGGCAGAGAGCTCGGGAGTTTTTACGTGTCTAAAAACAACCAACCAAAAAGACCTAACTCCCTAATAAGCAAACGACCTCTGCTCTGCAAAGCAAACATGGCAATGCAATCCACTTCTACGGCAGCAATCAGGGTACAATGGCGATCCAGAGGAAAACAAATTAATAGACAGAGGAGAAAGAACAACCCTGAAGCAGGCATTCCAGCCAAACCACTCATTTCTCAATTCCTCTTAAATCTCTTCCCAACCCCACAGCTGCTTAGGACACCTCATAAAGGCGAAGACCTGGCTAAACCCAAAAGGCATCTGTGTGTGGAGAATGTTATGATATAAAGATAGTCCGATCTAACAGGAACGCGCGCACAATAGGAAAGACGGCAACAGCTTTAGACTGATTTAATTAAAGCACTGCAACAATTTCCAACTTCTCACTGAACACTTAGTTCCCCTTCCTCTTATTCCCCCTTCACCCTCCCAATGTATTTTTCATTTGCACTGCATTTCACTGGATACAATTAATTTAATCGCATCTTATCTGTACCTCAACCAGATCTTGCAGATCTGATTTAAATCCCTTCCCCAGCCTGCCAGAAATGTGAGACCATGGCAGTGAAGATGACTGAGCATGTACGCTCGAGGCAGTGCTCAAATTGCAGGGGGAAAGTAGAAAGCACTGAGTATCCCATATCATCGTGGCAATAAGCCATCCCTATACCCTGGTGCCTTGTCGACTGCAGCAGGTGAGCACAGCATTCAGAAGAATGGGCTTTGACCGAACGACACAGGACAGCCTTCAGAGTGAAAATATTCATCCCCAGAGCCAAGCATTCATCCTTAGCCAGCATGGTTTTCGCTGCATCAGCATGCCAAAGTTGGCAACACAGGATACTTTACTTTATGCTAAATTGAATTAAGGCCACTTTAATTCTGAATAAGTGCCTCCACACAGGGGTTTAATGCGGTTTAACTAATCCACTTTAAATTCACATCTTTAGTTAATTTGGATTAATTTTCCAGAGTGTCTCCCTACAGACAAATCTTAAATCTGGTCTAAGGATATTGATGTCAATGGAGTTACAGCAATGTTAAATGGGCATGAGAACCAACCTGTCATGGGGTGTATATACCCTATTCTGGCCTGGCAACCCAGGGGCTAATGCAGGAACTGCCAGCCAACCCTGATTGGCAGCCTCACAGCAGTTGGGAGAATAAAAGATCTGGCGTGTAGAGAGGTGGGGTGGCTGCCAGAGGAGCAAGCAGGCTGAAGAAGGAAATTCCAGCCTTTAGGCTACTGAAAAGCTGCCCAGAGAAGGGACAATCACATCTACAGGCTGGAAAAGCGCTACTGAAACCAAGGGAGGTAGGAAGGAGCTCAGGGCACAGTGCGAGGAGTTGCTGAGGCCGGATTCTGCCCGCATAGTTTAAGGGCCCTGAGCTGGAACCCAGTGGAATTGGCAGGCCTGGTCCCCAACTGATCCTTGGGAGACATAAGAACAGAAGGGGTTTCCAACTGATCCCACCAATTATAAGGGGGAAATCCACACACCCCAGCAGGCCTGAGGCTAACACCCTCCATTGACCAAATGGGACTACCACAGAGACTCAGGCAAGAGGAGATGACTGACTGTCCCTCCAGATTGAGTGAACTCTGGTGCAGTGCTCCATCTGGACAAAGGGGGCGCAGTTGCATCGGCACACCCACTCACACAAGCCCATTCAACATGCCTTCAATGACCATCTGACATTACTCCCCCCCGAAAGTTTCATTGTTAGAGGCCAGCCAAAACAGCTCATCTCATCTTTGAATTGAGGATTGCTGTTCACATTCAAACCCACGGTTCTGAAGCCAGACCTATAATTTTGGTTCCAAATCAAACCAAAAATAGATGGCAACTGTTTTTCAGTTAAGAGTTGGATGGTGCCAAAATCTCACAAGAAATGTTATTCTTTTATGGTCTTTGGCCTAAGATGGCAGAAGCTCATAAGAACAGTTCACCCGCTTTGAGTCAACTCCTGGCCCTGAGTGAGATAATCCAGATGTGAACAGCACATCCTCAGACCATCACAATTAATTTGGAAGCTACACATATGAAAACATGTCTACTAATGTAAGGCATTAACCAACCACAAGTTTCCCCAGACGTTGCTGACTCCAGGAACATTTTCATGGTCAAAGGGTCAAGAGTTGCTGTGGGTGGGATTTTCAGAAGTGCTCTGAATTGATCTAACACTACTCCCACTGAAGTAAACAGGAGTTTTATCATTGACTTTAATGGGAGAGTGTTAGTTTAATGCTGAGCACTTTTGAAAATCTCACCCCACATGTCTAAAGCAGGAGCTTCTGGCCTCTTTCAGAACAGCACAACACCACATGTAGCTGGTGCCCCCAAAACAAATGGGGTGGGGGGTTGATGGACAGGGAGCTTTCACATGTCCAGCAAATAAACAAAACTCCTGTGAGAGAATTCACTAACATGCCCCTCCTTTTCTGCCAAGCCAGACTCTAAGGGCCTGATTCTCCTCTCACTTAGACCAGTCTCCCTCTGGTATAATTCTACAGATTTACTCCTAATTTGCACTGGTGTAGATGGAGAGGTATCAGGCCCAGAGTCTCTAGGCAGAGTACACCAGAGTGAGGAAGCCTCTGAAATGACTGCAGAGCTAACAACTGAGCTGTATGGATGAGCAATAGCTTCTGGAATCCATCCATGCTCTCTCCACCCGCTCCATACCCAGCATCATTAAAGAATGGAAAAAAAAATAGCAACAGTTTCTAGCCTATTATCTTCAAAATGCTTCAGAAGCATATGTTAGTCCTCCTAAGACCAGTACTCCAAATACCCCAGTAAGGTAGGCAAGTATTAATGTGGTCTCCATTTTAAAAATAAGAAAGCTGAGGCAAAGAAGCTTAAGTGATTTGTTCAGGGCCACAGAGTGAGTCAGTGTCAGGGCGGGATTAGAATTCAGAAGTTCCCGCCTCCTGGTCCTTTGCTCCAACCACACCTATGTCTGCTCCTTCACCCAAGCATCCAGCTGCACCAAGGATTCTGTTATAAAGTGGGGGTTTTGCACATCTTGATGTTCTGCTGCTCCTGAGCCGTAAAAAGCTGTCCTGCTTTGTATAGCACTAGAGCATCACAACAGTGTGGCTGTGGGTGCTCAGCACCTCTGAAAATCTGGACATAACTGTGTGTAATCCAGCTGACTCTAAAACAGCAACAACAAATCAAAGCTTTCAATAATGGTCCAAGAGAACACCACTGAACCTGCAGTGAGAATTACGTAGCTGGGCAACGCACAGAATATTTTTGGGTGGAATTACATAGGGCCTGAGACAAAAACGCTCATCAAAGCCAATGGAAAGACTCCTTATACTGTATTTTTCCATAATTGGAGATGTACCTGAAGGAACGACAGAGCTTAACCACCATGAGGTTGGAGAGGAAGAGGGTGAGTTAAAATCCATATGGGAATTTTGCTGATTGGACCGAGTGCTATCCCTGAATATAAATGCATTGTAAAGAAAAACAATGAGCTGTGTTTGCTTGCTCAGTTCGTAAACAATGCTCAGTATTGTAACCCAAATGGAAAGAAAGGGTGTTATGGAACCATTGTCAAAGGAAAGACAGCAAGAAAACGGCAACTAGCAACTGATGCATGCTGGTTGAGCAGTTGCCTGCAGTAGTCCCATAATCACCCATAGTAGACACATCATTTCATCCAGCATGATCACTAACATAGTGCATGCAGCTAGCCAGAGAGCTGTGGCAGGGTGTTATCCATCTTGCAAATGTGAAAGATCACGCAAGTCACCATAAAAAAGGATGCTGCCAACAACGAAGAAAACTGCCTGGCATCCCTACTCTACATGACATATGCCAGCCTAATAATAAAAATAATAATACCAACTAGCTCTTATATAGCACTTTTCATCAGTAGAGCTCAAACTGAGGTATGTATTACTACCCCTGTTTTACAGATGGGGAAACTGAGGCACACAGCGGGGGAGTGACTTGCCCTAGGCACCCAGCAAATCTGTAGCAGAGCCAGGAATAGATCCAGGTCTCCCAAGATATAGTCCAGTGCTCTATCCACTGGGAAACACTGCCTCCCCCAGCCTGCATCCTCCCACTGCCTCCCCCAGCATGCTTCACAACTGGTCAGTGGGGCTCCAGAGAACACTTACCCAATGCAGGGATTGTTTTGATATCGCGGAGCTGTGTAGGAGAAAGGAGAAATATTTTTGTCAACAAATGACCCAAACCCCAGCCGGAAATTGCTGGTGAGCTTCCTCATCTCCTCAGCCAGCTTGGTTCCCAGATTCCGAATGTTATCCAGGTCATCCTTCATGGATAGCGAGAGATCCATCAAGTAATACAAATCCACAGGATAGTCTTCTACCTGACGAACCTGCACTCGGAAGGAGGTCTTGTCACCTGCAGGAGCAGAAGATTAGGAGGCAGTGAAAAGAATTGCATTCTAGAAAGAGTTCCCCACCACAACACACACCCTTTAGAATCTGGGTCCATATTTATTCTGCTTCTAATACCATCAACAGCGATAGACATAAGTATTCATGTTGAAAATATGAACTGTTCTGCAAAGTTTCCTGTTGCAACGTGAAATTCATATATACAAAATCCAGGCAGCACACTTTTCTTGCTGTAGCCCATTCCTACATATATACCATTCCTTCCCGAAACTGACCACAGAAATAGCTGGAGATGTGCAAGAAAGGGGAGAGGGAAAGGAGGCTAAACATGTCTTTTTGTAAATCCATTCCCACGTATGTAAACTGAGAAATGTTACTCTAGTCCAGTGGTTCCCAAAGTGGGGTTCGCAAACCCCTGGGGGTTCGCAGAACATTTCCGGGGGTTCGCAAGAAAAATTTAATAAATGGGGGCCACAGGACTCTGCTGGGACCCAGTTGCAGGGCAGACAGCCCGAGCCCCAGGGAGAGCGGGGCCGGGCAGTTTGAGCAGGCAGCCCGAGCCCTCCCCTGTCAGCCAGGGAGCTGGCAGTCTGAGCCCCAGGGAGAGCGGGGCCGGGCAGTTTGAGCTAGCAGCCCCAGCCCTCCCCTGTCAGCGGGGGAGCCAGCAGCCCCGAACCCCAGCACTCCATGAGGGGTGCAGGTGGCAGCTCGGATCCCTGTCCCACTTTCCTCGGCGGAAGAAAAGCTCTTTGCGAGCCGAACCAGCCAGAAGCACGTTGTAGCCAGTGTAGGAGTGTTAAGGTGTCTCAGTAATTGTCCTTCTCTCTGGAGTGCTGATTTGCTTCAGTGAGTGAATCTTCTCAGTTTCTAGTTTGTTGGTTGTTAGCAGTCTCTCTCTGTTATTTTTATTAGAACTTTTGTACACAAGTTCAATGGATAAGTGGCTGAAAAAGGAAAGTGTAAAGACTCTGGAATCAGCTAGTG